AGCCGGGATCGTGGGTTCGAATCCCACTCATGGCATGGATGTTTGTGTGCGTTTTTCTGTGTTTGTCTAGAGGTAGAAGCCTTGCGACGAGCTGATCACTCGCCCAAGGAGTCCTACCGTATGTGTAAGATCTACTAATCCGAAGTGAAACGGAGAGTTTCATGGAGGTAGGCCTAGGCCCAAATTGGGGCTGTAGCGCCACAGAAAACAAATCATTTTTGTATTTTGTTTTTTAATTATTTTTGTGTATTTCTCTATTCGTGCTAGCTTTGTAATTGGCCTCCGTGCTGTTAAGTTTGCACGTAAATAAACACGAACTGAACTGAATTGAATTGAGTTATTATTATTATTATTAGTAGTAGTAGTAGTAGTAGTAGTAGTAGTAGTAGTAGTAGTAGCAATTCTATTACCTATTACTACTACTCTTCATCCAGCTATTGTTCTGCTACTACTAGACAGTTTCAACTCACCCTTTTATTTCAAAACACAAAGCCCAGAAATGTTCATTAGATACGTGTATATCTATGCTTCTCTCTCTCTCTCTCTCTCTGTCGGAGTTAGAGACCACGATAAACCTTGGTCTCTGCTTTACAGTTTCTCAGTCATACAAGCAGTCGGTAGGAGTCCTTGGGCTGGGAATCAGCCCTTCGCAAGGCCGCTAACGACACAGCACAACACAAACACAGCGTAAAAGCAGACAAACATCCATGCATCTAGTGGGATTCCAACTCATGACCCCATTGTCTGAGCGAGCGAAGACAGTTCATGTCTCAGGCGCGAGACCACCGTGAACAGCGATATCCGTGTTTATAGGCGGGATTCAAACATGAGACACCAACGTGGTGTGGATCCCAGCCTGAACAGCTGCTTTCCTAAGAAACTCACCAACGAAATATACATGCTGACGAGCAATGCATAAACTATTTTGACAGATATCCTGAAATAAAGAGATCTCCCCGAATTACGGCATCGTGTTGCGTTTGATACAAAATATATTATTAGGTTGGATTTGATGCTCCCACGGTGGTCACTATGGCCAGTATGATCCTACAATTCGACCCTGAAAATGGAGGCAATAGTTTACTACGAAGCACAGGCGAACGTCTACAGAAGTGCACGGCTCTCCAACCCAAACTACTGTACTTTCATTTTACTCTTATAACAGTCATCTATTCAACAAATGTTCCATTTTTCCTGACCTCTCTGTCCCTCCACATGAGTAGTTGTTCTCCTGTTAGGTGGTTCGACACTAGACTTCATTTGGAGGATAATAATAAAATGGACTTTATGGTAATAGGTTGTGATGATATGGACTGAAATTTTCTGCCTCTGAATAAAGTCCAGTGGCTGGATCATTTGAACGAGTAAATGAAACTTCAAGATCCATAGAAGGGTGAAAATTTCTTGTACATCTGAGCAAGTTAGTATGTTAGCATTTACAGGTTGAGTTTACTTCAGGAGGTTAACTGTTATACTGGACATGTTAAGGTCAAGAAAGGTCGAAAGCGTTTCGGTTCCCGAAATATTTCGGCCTAAATTGGAGGAAGTGACAAGAAATATAGAAAATTCTATATTGGAGTGTTTACGCTGTTCTTAATTAATTAAGCGGCACGTTATAAAGTCGTGCAGGGGAGCGGAAGTGTAGCTCCATTCTTAATATTGGCATCAGATAGAGGGGAGCGGTAAGCTTCACGCTTCTGACACTTTACATCCGGGAAGCAGCCCGCCGTACCCATTGTTAGGGTGCGGTGGACCACAGAGCTGGTCTGCACGTTATGGAGACGAGAACAATCTTTTCCTTCATCCGGAAATCGAATTCTGATCCCTGAATCATCCAGCCCATATGCTAGTCCTCATGCCGACTGCTCTGCCCCCGTTTGAGTTTATACACTTCAGTAAATATTATTATGAGCCGGGGTAACTGGGTTCGACCCTCAGTAGTAGCGAAGATCTTTTTCGCTTCTCCGCCACAATCAGACTGACCATTGTTTCCCCACCCCCCAAATTCCTGTAAGGGTAAAATGACCACTACGTGAATATGATCACTCGACTCCCTCTGGCGCCGAGGTTAAGAATACGTGGAGTTCTATCTCCACTCCCTCATACTTCTTCATGACATGGTAAGTAATTAATTAAGAGCAGAATTTTATTTTTTTAACTATTATTTTATATGCATCTGCATAATGAGGAGCTTCATAACTTGTATTCTTCTACAAGTATAACTAGAATGATCAAGTCAAGGAGGATGAGTTGGGAAGGGCATGCAGCACGAATGGGGGAGAGGAGGAATGCACATAGGATACTGATGGGAAAACTGGAAGGATGCAGACCACTGGGAAGAGCAAGACGTAGGTGGGTGGACAATATTAAAATGGATCTTAGAATTATAGGATGGGGTTGTGTGAATTGGATTGATCTGTCTCAGGATAGGGAATAGTGGAGGGTTCTTGTGAACATGGTAATGAACCTTCGGGTTCCATAAAATGCTGGGAAATTCTTGAGTAGCTGGAGAATTGGTGGCTCCTCCAGAAGGATATCAGCTCCATGTGTGAGTGATGATCTTAGAGAATAGGATTGGATGGCGTGGACTCGATTAATCTAGCTCAGGATAAGGAGCAATGGCGGGCTCTTGTGAACGTGATAATGAAGATACTGATTCCATAAAAAGTTGGGAAATTCTTCAGTATCTGAGCTACTGGCAGCTTCTCAAGGAGGACTCAGCTCCATGTTCAAACTGAAGGGGGAAGATACGGACGGACAGATGACAAAATTAATACGGAATTTGGTCGGAAAACCTGAAGAGGAGAGACATTTTTTAAACCTAGCCGTAGATGACAGGATAATATTAAGATTGGTATTATTCGCTTAGTGGGGAGTGAAGTCCAACTGGGTCCACTCGGCACGGCGGCCACTGATTGGCCTATTGTAGGCTGCCCCGGGTGATTATGATGATGGAGAATTTGGTGGAATGAAGGTCGGCAGGGGAAACTGAAGTACTCGGAGAAAACCTGCCCCAGAGCCACTTTTTCCACCACAAATCCCACTTGACCAGACCTGGGATCGAACCCGGGCAGCCGCGGTGGGAAGCCAGCGACTAACCTCTTGAGCTGTAAGACTGATATTACACAGACAGACTGTGAAGATGGGAAATTATTTTATATGGCTCGTTATAAATTAGTATAGGATTTGAGGTTCTCATAGCTCTAAATATTCTTCGATCCTGAAAATGGAAACAACATATTCCTTCGAAACGTCTATGGATTTTGAAAAGACTACATACATGGCGTATATTCCAGAAGATGTAACTCTTCTAAATTACAGTGACTGAACTCATATGAATGTTTTGTATGTCAGGTTCTCTCAGCAGCGGGTATGAATATTGTTCTATGGGATACGTGACGCCGTGTAGTCTGGTATATATGTACTAAGAAATGGAGGCAGCATGTTCCTCCGTAAGAGCGGTGTCTACCAGACTACACGGCGTTAAACCCAAAACACAATAATTTTCTGCTTAAATAAGCGGGAACGCCGGGGGAGGGGGCCATTTATGAACTTAATGATTCTTAGCTCCTGAAGAAAGGACTCCGTTCCGTGGAGTCCTGTGTCTGCAGAACACTGACCTGTAGGTCCACCTGCAACAGTCGCTTGCACATGACGCCTTATCAAAAGATAAGTGTGAACCGAGGGAAGAAATCCGCTTAACTTTTCTCACATGAGATCTGAGACTACTGTTCCTGCTTAGGTACTCTGAATTGTGACACCGTGGATACAGACACTTTTGAGGGAACATTGCAT